GATAGAACGATACTTGTGTCGACTTGTGTCACTAAATAGAAAGCACCGATAGACATATCCTCACTTAATGTTTACCCCACCTTCTTCTATTAGAGAGAGAGAAAAAAATCAGGCGTTGTTTCTTCTCACTCGCACATGTCACCCATTGCTTGGTATATAGCATGCTCGGTTTATCTATACTATGTCTATGGCATCGCCTTTGAAATCGGCCCGAAATGTACAACTAAAGCCTATTGCACATTGCAAAAGCACAGGCGATAAGAATAGAAAATAGCAACAGGCAACAGATTTTGACTAATCAGAAATATTTCCGATATTCTTTCACAGCTTCTGATTAGTCGAAATCTGTTGCCTGTTGCTATTCCCTGTTCCTGTTTCCTGTATCTTTTCATTGGTCTCAAGCTTAATTCCGAGCGCTGCTTTACACCATGGATTGCATCCTATGCTTTCGTACTACAGTTTACGCACTTTTTTCGCAAGTCGAATATGATTGGTTATTGAATGAAAAAGTATTCGGAAATTCCCCAAAAATCTCTATTCGACGACCAATCAGCGTCGGAGGAATGAGCCTGATATTTGTAAAGAAACTGGATCTTGGACGAATATGAGATATCTCTTTCTATTCACGTCACATATAAACCGCTCTTGCACTGCTACGTCGATGAAGAAGCTCTTTTTGGGGTGTATGACGTAACAAGGTTGTCGTCTGGCATAGCGTTTCTTAGTAGCCATTTTATTCCCAACCGCACGGCTGATTAAGGTATTACGCATATAGATAATTAACATTATTTAAGCGGTCCAGCGAGATACTCGACAAAACGGTTGTCTACACGCGCGGGGCGAATAGGCATAGGAGGGTATCGCCATCCCGGTAGTAGATCTCGAGGAAAGTCTTTAAAACGACTCGCGTTTTCCCTCTTCCCTTCCTTTCCCATCGTCTTAATCCAAAATCCTGCGGAAATGTAATTCCTATCGTCTTCGAGTGAATTCCACATACGGGTTTATCTCCTTCATTTCCTTATGTTTATTATTAATTTCAAAGATGAATTCCCAGGATTAACTAGCAATATGTAGAATTTGAAGCCTACATTGGATACTCTCTGATTTCTTTCCCTTCTCTTTCTCTCCTTTCTCCCTCTTATGAATGTTTTGCATTTCTAAATACTTGTACTATAAATAAAGTAAATAGTATATACAACGCAAAATTGCTTTATGATCATCGTCTCTCTTCAAGACATGATCTCTTCTGTCTCCTCGAGATACTGCCAAATAATGCGATCACCATGCTGATAAGATTGTTAAATTATAGCTTGATGATCGCCGGCAATGCCCTTGACTTGATACAAAGTATCAACTTTCTCCGTGCGTTTTCTTACCAATTTGCCATATCTATTTGGATCTACCTGACTGCGTTAAGCTCTCTCGCTCTAACTCCGCTTGTCTCAAATGCACACTTAAAAAAATCGCCCAAGTCAGATGAAGGCGGGAGGACCTGGAACGAGCTGTGTACTCATGGAAGGCAGTTTCTATCCTTATAGGTGCTTCTGTGTACATCCAACCTTCGGTTCGGCCCACCAGCACCATGGATTCAAAGCGGTATGAACGCAGCGGCAGATCGAATACAGAATCGCCACCTACTCCACCCTCGCCTCCCATGTATAGCACAGGTTGTACCATGATACATGACAGTCACAAGAGTAGAATCAGTATGCGACGTTCACCCTCACCCGGCGGGGACCACCATCGAAGCAGTAGATCTTCGCGGAACTCGCCACTTCCAGAGCGACGCAAGCGCCGTCGTAGCAGCTCCAGATCTCCTGTACGTTCTCACAGACGGTCTAGGTCCAATGATAGAGATCGAGATCGTGACAGAGAGAGGTCACGAAAATATTCCAGAAGAGATAGATCACGGTCGAGATCGCGCGGAAGATCACGCTCAAGAGACAAGAGGCGAAGTCGAAGTCGTAATCGCAGCAGAGATCGATACAGGTACAGAGAAAGCCGTAGGCATCATGCAAGAGCAACTTCATATGAGTCAGATGCTCTGGAAGACCATGGAGAGGAGGCGGGGGTGGTGATGCGTCAAGCCGTAGCTGTTGCTCCACAACCGAATGCCTTTAAGAATGACGGTAGTTTTATGGAGATGTTCAAGAAAATGCAAGAACAGATGCAACCTGCCGCACAGAAGCCCACCACCTCTGTGTTGGAAGAGAAACCTATAGTGCCACCACCATTGATGGTAGGCAAGAGGAGAGGTGGTAGGATTCTAAAGACTGGTATGGTAGCGAAACCAAAGACAGAACAGATAGTGGAACAACCGAAGGACGCGTGGTCTCTGTATATGGCAGAGGTAAAAAAGTACCGAGAGGTTTGCTGCCAAGAGGAGGATAATACGCGACCATTAGTCAAATAGTTTTGACATGTCATATTATCCTATCTTTACATACTGTGGCTAATTACTTTTTTTAATACCTATAGTTAATTGTTAATTCTTAAAAGAACTAAAAAAAATATTGGGGCAGATATTTCTTCTCAAAGGCACTTTTCTTTCATTCGTTCGTTTTACGTTTTGCCGTGAACTTTGTATTCATTTGACATCGACGCCATGAAAGTTCTTTTAACGATTTGAATGAAATAAAACGGAAAAGAGAAGTGCCGTAAGAAACAAACTCACTTGTGATATAGTGTCGTATGTGCTTTGAGAGATGAATGAACAAGAGCGAGAGAGAAACGTAGAATTTACATTTACGAGCAGACAATAGAGGGCAGAGGAGAAGAGAGAAGGTGAAATAGAGAGAAGGTGAACATAACGCAAATCCATACTGAGAATTAAAGATTAAATAATTTATGAATTGTTAAGCAGTGTTCTATATCGTCGCGATCATGACGAAGTTTTCGGATATTACTGCTGAATCCTGGCAAACAGCACCATACGATCCTAGATTTCCTAATCAGAATCAGACTAGGTAAGGATTAAATAATTTCGCCATGATTAATATGTCAGGATTATAACAATCACGATCAATTTTTTTACATTTAAATTCAGATTTTTCTATAATAAAGTGCAATATCATTGTTGCATCTTTTTTATCATATTAGAATATCCATTGATATGTCATTTTAATGTGTACACAAGAATGTATGAATTTAATAGTATCAAAATTTATCAAAAATTAAATATTGTATGGATTAAATATTGATTAATCTAGTCAAATTTATAATTGTTTAAAATATGAAGTATATGCTGAATGCATTTGCATACACATACAATTATAGATTATTTATAAAATAAGTAAAAAAAGTAACAATAATTAACTTGCTCCAAAAGCATGAAGCATATTTGTGTATCATTTTCATAATTGCTATTTAAGACAAAGAAAAAGGCTGGCGGAATGTCTAATCAAATCTGATCCATAGATACTGTTACCAGAGCTACATAGACTTTCACCGATGCAAGAAGAAGCACAATGAAAATTATGAAGCTTGCCAATACTTTAAGAGAGTCTACGCTTCGATGTGTCCGAATGCCTGGGTAGAAAAGTGGGATGAACAGGTCGAAGCAGGCACATTTGCTGGTCGCATCTAGAATTTCCCGCGGTTGATATGCCGCATTTGCTTTATCTTAGTAAACTATAAATAGTCAAACAGAATTCTAGAGTTATGTCACTTCCTGTTTGTATGTGTGTATGTATGTGTGGTGTGTGTATGTAGATATATATATATATATCTACATATAGTATATGTAGATTTCATATATATATATATATATGTAAAATCAATTTAAATAAATCTAATACCAGTCTTTTATCTCTCCCATTATGAGATCTCCTGTTATATCTCAGCGAATTTATGTGAAACTTAATGATTACACTTCTCTCTTCTGATTATCATAATTGTATAATGATCTAATTTGTGAATTTGTATAAGTTAAAATTTTGTCTACCTATGGTAAATAAGTAGCTCGCGGCATATTTCAATAAGATAAAGTGATGTAAGTCTATATAAAATATTCATTATAATATCGGTTCTCTTCGATGAATTTATCCTTTTGATTTAAATAATTCTCTATTTTTCGATTAATCGACAATTGCTTTAATATGACTATCGTTAAAAATATTTTATTAAACAAATACTGCATATAAACAATCAGGATATCGACGTATCACGATGAATTATTTATTATTGATAATAATAAAATACAATCAAGGTTGGGAAAGTTACTTTATAAGTAATTTGTTACTCATTATCGAGTGAAAAAGTACTTAGTTACTATTACTAATTGGTGACACCATAAAGTAACTCGTTATTATTATCGTTATTGAAAAAAAACAATTCGTTTTTTTCCATTTTTTAATGGTAAAACGAGATTAGATTAAATTAATTTTTCTAATATTTTTTATTAAACTATCTAATAAAAGTGAAACTTTTTATCTTAAATTCGCAAGATTACAAAAATCAAAATTTTTTAAAATATTCAAAATATAAATGAAAAGATTATAGTCTTAAGATTGAATTCATAAATATAGCCACGTTTGTGCAGCCAAGCTTCTTTTTTTTATTTCATTTTTATTTACAAATTTTTAAAAGCCGATATTTATACAATTTGTTTGTATATTAATGCGACTCTATGATTGGTTGATAAACTTAAGGTTCTTAAACAACCTTGAGTGTATCAGTGGACTATAAATATCGATCAAAGACTGAACATTGATATAAAAATTATAAATAAATCAAATAGATTTAAAGTATAAAAAATAATGATAAGAGTAACTGTTAAATTCGTTACCATTATTGAGAAAAATCGTTACTACATATCATTATAATTATTAAAAAAGTCAGTACCAAGAATCTTTCAAGAAAAAACTATGATAACGGCCTTATAAGTAACGTGTTATTCCTCAACCCTAAATACGATTATTTAATATTGGATTATATAGTAATATTTATAAATTTTTGATAGTAGGCAATCAATTTTCGAGAGAAAACGATTTTCAGACAAATTATAATTTTTAATCTACATTCGAATTATTGAGATTAGGATAAAATCGTCGAGATATCTCTACATTATTGACAATTATTGTTGCCATAATTTGGTATCTAATTGCACGCAAATTGAAGAATATGTTCGCAATAGTCTAAATCTGTCAAAACGGGTATAGATATTGGTACAATATTGTTGCTCTTAACATATATTTATATACATAAATCATAGATATAAATCATAAATATCGTAGATAACGTGATAACATACGCAATTGTCTTTATTCGCGCACTTGCTTAAATACGTCGATATTCGTCTCATTTTGGAGTGCCGCTATGTTACAAATATACTCTAGAACATGATCTTCAACGGTTTACTTAAATAAGTACTTATCTACGCACGATCATATCATACACGCAACTTGTATCACTTGCAAATATCTTCAGAAACGATTATATGAAAATAAAGTATCAAGAAAGGGGAAAATACGAATGTATCGTCAATGATGCAAGCCGGCTACCTTTAATTTCTTCGGCTGTCGGATTGCTCGACCAGTCTCGCTATCAGAAGATTCTGATTCACTATCGTTGTACGTATTCACTCCTCCAGGTTCAGATTTGGTTACCTCACATGACTCGTAACCGCCAAGATTCGATTTTTCTAACGAGCGAACTTAAAACATAAATTTGATTAGAATCAAGGAATATTTTTTTGTTTTGTTTATAATCATAATTATGATTGCTACTTTTTTTGCAGAAGGCGTCTGTGATGCTCGAAGAGACAGAAATAATACTTTATATATATATATATATATATATATATATATATAATAAAATAAACGGTAGTATAGAGATAATTTGGTATTTTTTCCCCAATTTAAAAAATTTTCAGCAACAGATTAAATGAACGAACTATTGTATCTAACATTTTTCTTTTTTACTTTTAAAAAATCGATCTTTATCATACATTGATATACGTACATACATATGTAGATTGCATGTCCAGTGCCCACCCTTAAATTTTCTACTTGATTGAAAATTTACCATCTTGTAGGAAAAATTCAAGTTATAATAAAATATGAATAAATAATTATGGAATAATTTTATTTGTTGGTGTTATATAATGCACGTGTTAGTTTTATATATATATACACCCAACTATCGCAAAACTAATATTAAAAATAAACTAATATTTATTATACACATAAACATAATTTGTAAGAAAATCAGTAAAAAGTGAAAAATGTACCTATGAAATATTCATTTTGATGCATTATTTTTCGTAATATGACAAAAACAACAGTATCTCATTTTCACAATTTTATTTTTATAAAAAAATAAATAATCTAATGTAAAGTTAATATAACAAAATGTCAAATTATTATCAAATTATGTGCCCGCATAATAACTTTCCCTCTAAAATGGCAAATATTCAATTATAGATGGAAGGTAAAGGATGGGATACTTTATCCACTGTAATTAGTCTAAATCTATATAATTCATAAATGGACAGAATACTAATCTAAAGATAATAACTATAATAATATAAAATATATTATAATATTATAATATTAAATAATATTATAATATAAAAAATTTAGCTTTTATAAAATAAATTAAAAGTTATAAGATATAACAAAAAGATATCGATAAAAATAAAAAGACTTAATAAGATGCAATGATGATTTAAAATGATGATTTAAATTAATCTACTTCGGAAAAATTTTATTAAGAATAAATGAATATACATTTTTTCATCTAAAATTAAATGATAAAAAAAAGTATATTAAACTGCAAGAATAACTAAAAATAAAAATTACTAATAATTTTTCTACTTTAACTACATTCTAATTTTATATTTTTTACCACTTTTATTGTTATAATCTTATTTTTTATTTTGTTAACAGTCAAAAAGTATTTTTTGAATCAAATTTTGGATTGAAATATATTTTTTTTATTATTAAGACTCCTAACTGATTGTTGCAGCTATATTGAAATCGTGACATCATAAGCGAGAAATAATTACAAAACAAATTGTAAAATTTATTACACATTATTTGCAAATAAAGAGATATTTAAATTAAATAACTCTTGAGATTGGCTTTAAGACACTTGTGACAATGGATTACTATTATCGTTTTCCTCCTGACAATAAATAGCCGTAAAAGATAGGTAAAATAAAATTTATTCAGGCAGAAAAACACATAGTTTGATAGCTGTTGAAAAAAGTACAAAATACGCTTTTACATATAAAATTCAAAGATAATTTCAGTTGCCATCCATTTTTATAAATTTAGTAAGTACGAAATAAATCATTTGCATGATTAGTACATAATAGCGAAATAACGTGCAATAAAAAATTTCGTTGTCAGCACGTCGCTTTCCATGCTTTTTAGTTCATCTTTCTGTCATAGTTAAAAGCTGCAAGAATTTCTACTACTCACGCCTATTTCCGCCTATTTCCATAAATGTCTTAAGATTCAATAAATCACATAAAGCGTAAAATAATTCTTAAAACCTAACAATTAGATCTAGTAATCTGATGATTTCTGATAGCTGAGCAATGTATTGTAAGAATTATTTTACACATTATTTTAAGAATTGTTTTATATTTATATGTGATCTATTGAGCAGATATCTTATTTTCTGATATTTTTTACAAGTTTTAAAAATATGAAAATATGTTTTTAAGAGAAAAGTATAAAATAAGACTATATGGCGCAAGAAACTTTTTGTCTTGTCATTTTTCGCCTCTAACGTCACATAATCCATACCGCAAAAGAGTTGAGAGAAGAGTTTAAAGCGATTTCAAATATTATTTTATCCAAATATCTGTTTATTTACAAATGACACGCAAAAATCTTAATATCTTTTCTCGTTTATGACATCACAATTAAATATGACCGTAATGAATAATTAAAAGCCTTAAAATTATTTGGTATCCAATTGAGATTAATTATATTTAAAACTTTTTATATTTACGCGTTCTGTGTTTTAGCTATTGCGTTTATATTTCCTAGTTCATTATTTAGTTAGTTTAAAAACTTACACCGATAATTCAAATCAATCAATGAAAACTTTATGGTGATAGATGTAAAAATCATCTCCCTTGCACTTTCATTGCACATACGCTTATACATTACTTACGTGTAACTATATAAAAAAAGTGATAATTACTTTGGGCTTCTAAAAGAGAATTTTGTTTTTTGAGGTCATCAATATCTTGTTGATGGGAGGTATTTTTGCGTCGCATGAATTGGATATAGTCCGCTGCCTTCTTTAGGATTTGAGCCCTACTTGCAACCTTTTCTCCCTGCAAAGCCGGTACAACGTCCCTCAGACTGGAAAAACTGTCTTTGATGTGGTCCCGTCGCTTTCGTTCCAAAGCATTGTGATGTGCTCTTTTTTCTGCCTAACATACAAAATATTTCACTATATAAAATCATCATATTTTATAATAAATTCGGTCACCTGTATTACATCGGATTGGTTCATATTAAAAGTTGCTATATAAAACATCTAAATGCAATGGTATGATGTAGCTTCTTTGCTGATGAAATTATTAATGTATATTCTACTAAATAACATTACAAATTTATTGTTAACTATTCAATGTAATTGTTTAAAATGTTTATATACTCTTATATCTTAATAATTTCAGTGTGCACTAATTAATGATTTTAGTGTGCACTAATCCGATATAGTGCGAATAATCGAATTTGTTATTCATTTCCAAAAATAAATTGATTGAATTGTTCAATTAAAAAAGATTATTTCATGAAAAATGACAAGCAAAATTATAAAAAAAAGAAATTAATTTTTTGTATCATAATTTAAGTTCAAAAAAAGCTCATTTAAAAGAAAACAATGAGCGTTATGACTATTTTTATATAACTTTTATTCTATTATATTATTTTATGTTTCTATAGATATATCTCTATTAGACACGTGCTATTTATTTTTTAACATTATATATTTGCTATCAAATTGCTATATATTTGCAATCAAATGTAAAATTCAGATATATTCTATCAATTTATACAACTGTGTGAGTGTGCAGAAATTGTATGTGAAAATATTTTGTTTCGTATTCACTCTGGAATATTCTATGACTGATTTGAATATGTAATTTTTTGTGTCATATGTGTGTCAACTGTTTATATGTGTCTGCTTCCTTCATAAGCAGTTATTATGTGACACAAAAAAAAATTACATATTCAAATCAGTCATAAAATATTCCGAAGAAAATACGAAATAAAATATTTTCACATACAATTTCTAATATTTGTTTATCCATTGTACATATACGATAAATATATAAACTACTAAAATATACACAATGACAACCGGTCACGAAATAAACACAAACCGCTCTTTTTCTTTAACATCATGTTATTTTATCATTATTCTTTATATTAATATTATTCTGTTTTTCTTTTTTAATTTTTTTATATATTTTATTGTAATATTTTTGTATTTCCATTTTTTTCGAAATATGAAGAAACTTTTGTAACTTATTATATTGGATTTAAGATTTAAGATAAAAAGATGGGTTAAAAAATTGATTTTTTTTTGTCTAAAAATTCACCTATCGAAAAATATATTTTTAGAATTTTATTTATATGTGTAAACAAATTAACAATATTATTGAATGTTTTTGAGAATGCATCACTCAAATATACTATTTGGAAGACAAAATAATATATTTTATTGAAATCTTCTAATTTGTACTGATCTATATAAGTTTTTCGAATTCTAAGATTTTTTGTTTTATTATTAAACTGGTTTTGGAAAATGTTTTCTAAAAAAAACATATGTAAATTTTTATAAATATATTAGCTTATATAAAATTGTTGACATCAACATGTATAGTCCCCATATTGCTAATTATATACATTTATAACACATTTAACTATATACATTATAACATACATTTATAACTGTATACATTACACACATATATATATATATATATATATATATTTATTTATTGCTAACTATACATTTAACGATAGAGTTGAGTCTGAAGATTATAAATATCTTTAATATTGATGGTGATTTAAATGCAATTAAATTTTACAACAAATTATATAAGAAAAGTATCAAAGAATTATGCATCAGACACAAAAGATAATGCACAATATATGAATTTATTGGAACACAAGTATGAATTTAATTAAAGAAGTTGTACTGTCTAAAAACAAACATAAGTAATATTATATAGTCTTGAAATAACAGACTAAAATACATAACAAAATTATTTTTTGTTAAAAAAAATATATAAATTTAAAATTTCAAACATGCTTTTCAAAAGTTCTCTCATTTTTTTAGCCTGATACATAATTTTTCAAAACTTACTGAATTAAATTGCTTTCAAATATTACAAAACATTTTAAAATGTATTATTTATCTTCCAATCATGGCTTTATTCAATATTTTAATGGAAAAATCATATTTTTAACTTTAGATAGCTATTTTCTTAAATATTATTTAAAAAGTTAACTAAATAACAGCAGCATAGAGCATATTTAAGATTAAGATAACATAATTATTTGATGTAAATGCCTAGAAATCAAGTGTAAAGTAGAAATTTTTACATAATAAAAAATTTTTCATCATATATCAACCAAAAATTAAGATTTTTTAAACTTTTTTATATTATTTAAAAAAATGTATTTTTATTTTAAATCAAATTAAAATTTTGAAGTAAATTATTAATCACTAACTATGCATAAATAAAGACAACTTTATGTTTCCACCTGTTTCCTGGTATATACAATTTTGTTCAATTCAGAATCACAGAAATAAAATCAGTTAATTGATTAATTATATTATTAATATAATTAATCAATCTATATTGATAATTTATAAGAGTTGTCTCTATTGAAAGCTGAAAAAGTAAAATTATTTTGTATTGATCGCATGTAGATATCAGCAAACAACAACAAGCAATACTACTTGGCAAACATAACATCTACAGAATTAAGAAAATGAGGTTAGACACATCATATCATCACTGAAATAGCTATTGAACTTGAAAAAAAATCGCGTAAACAAGTTTCCTTTCTCTCGACGTACTTAACGTAGAGATGTGATTATCGACTGTGAAGATAAATCTCAGGGTCGATTATAGAATCTCACCTGGGAGTAGTATTGCGTGTTATTGGAGTGCCTCAGTCTGGAATCCGAATCGTCGCCATCCTAAAAAGATGGAAATTTGGAATCAGAATTTCTCGCGAGGAATTTCCCATGCGTATGCTACTTACATCGCTTTCGATATCGATATCACGATCATCATCACTCATCTTTAACGAATCTTGAAAGCTAAAAAAAGTAATGCACACTGCAATACAAAATATTAGCGATGGCAATTCAAAGTCAGCCGGGTTCGGACGTCGATCCCATCAAGAACAGAAACAGCAAGATCTTTAAATCGCCACAGAACATATACTAAAAGAAATGAAAGCTCTGTTTATAAGATGGGCAAAATAGAGACACTATAATCAGAGACTGGTCACGACTCTGATCTGCCAATCAGAGACTGGCCAACGACTCTGATCCGCCATGTTTTGGCTAAATCCACCGACGAGATACTATTAAAGACCAATGACTTAGTGTCGATCCACAATAGGTGATTTAAGCTTTAAGTAAAAAGTAAGAAATTGACCAATTATAATCGAATATAAATGAAAAGAATAATCGACTATGATTGGTCAATTTCTTACGACTTAAAGATTAAATATTTATTGTGGACACTTACGACACTTATGGGAGTTAGCGGGGCTGGAAAAATTCACTGTACGCTAATGCCCTCTTCGAAAAGTTGCGGCCAGAGTAGGAAACAAAATGAGAAACATATCGATAAGATATATTAGACTCACAGTGAATATATTTCGCTTTTCTTATCCCAAAATGTTATCAGTGTTAAGGAATTCGTATGACATAGCAAATAATGTAAAAATTAATAACGTAATAATAGTTTATAAGAAAATAAAAATAGATTTAAGTTAAAAAAAATAACTATATAAATTATATATTATATTTATAAATGTCAAAATTATATTAAATAAGAAAAAAACATAAATACTTAAAAACAATACAATTTAAGAACTCCTTATAATTAATAAATTAAAATAAAATTAACAAAGAGACAAACGGAAAAGTATAAGACGCTGGTCGAAATATTTTTTGTGATTAGAATTCTTATCAAAGCATTAGAATACATTCAGAAGTATATGAAAAGTGTATTAGATTATCAGATGTGCCGACATTTAAACAGCGTCTCATATTAATATTCATTTGGTATATATTCTGTATCTATTTATTTAAAAATCATACATTTTTTTACATTATTGCCAATGCCTAGAACTCTTTAGAAAACGTTTTGATATGTTCAGGACTATACGAAAAGTATATTTGTTAAATCAGAACTTCAAGATTTCAATCGTTTCATATTTTTCCATCTAAGAATGTGACGCTCGGCCGATTTTTCTTTATTTAAAAATATTTATTTAAAAATCGTACATCACCGCCAATGAATGCCTAGAACTCTTTAGAAAATCCTTTAATATGTTCAGAACTATACAAAAAATATATTTGTTAAATCAAAACTCTGAGTTATTGGCTTGCGTTTCAGCTCAATTTGTTTATTGCACTGATAATTAACTTCAACTTAATTAAACTTTATTTAAAATTTTTTTTGTTTTTATATGAGAGAACTCTTTATGAAACTCTTATAGAACTATACATTTTTCAAAATCTTACGTTTGCAAGCGTCGGAATTCGTTTAGGACAAAATGAGCCGCAGCGTGAATCTGGCGTCCACTTTGTCCAAACCGATTTTTTTCTTTAATGCAAAAACTATTTGTTTAACCTATCAGGAACTATTGAACTATTAAAAAGGAAGTCAGAACTCTCAATAATTTATATTTTTTTCCCCAAAATGAGACACCAATTTTACACACACTTTTTTTGTTCTCATTGTCGACTAAAATTTATTATTATAGTATTGCATATTAACTCTAAATCATTCAGTTATTAAAATCTAATTAATTTATTTGTTAAAACTATTGTTTGAAAAAGTATTTGTTGATATTTGTTCTAAAAAGAAAAATAAAAAAAACTATATTAAAAACTATAATTTTAGTTAATATCTAAATATTATTAAAAGTAAACTAGATCTAATATCTAAATATTATTAAAAGTAAACTAGAAATAATTTGTTTTAATATAGAGACATCTTTTAAATTAACTAAATAATTAATTAAATAATATTAATTAAATAATAGTAATAATTATAATAATTAAATAAACTAAATACCCAGGTAGCAAGATGTCGTCAATATAATGTCTATTTTAAGTCATTAATATCATCAAATTTACGTCATAAAAGATGTCAAAAAGGAACATAATGACATTTATAAGTGACAGATCGATGATGTGATACTTATAACAAAATAACGGTTACGTTCCGATATTGATTGCTAGTACTAAAAATTTATAATATACGTGACACCTTTTACGAAAAATAAGTAAAAAAAAATGAAAAAAAATGAAAAAAAGTGAAAGTTCTAAAAACATCTTTTATCTTCTATCGCCGCATGTTTCTAAAACGGCCCATCCTTACTTGGGACCTTGCTCGGTGCTGCTTAACTTGCATATGGGATGAAACCTGCTACTGAAATGATGATATAAATAAATATGCGATCTTGGCATAAAATATGATAGATCTGGTTAATGAATGTTACTATGTTGTATAAATAGTCTCAATTTTAAAATCTCGATTGCATATGTAATTTTTGTAGATAATTGAATTACATATATAGAGTCGAATTTATATTATTTAATAAAAATCATTATTTTTATAAAAATTGTTTATAAATTGTTGTATATATTTTATTTATTTGTTTATTTAATTATTTGTTAATAATTGTATGTTAAATATGAGAAATATTTTTCTTATTTATATATTATAATTAATTAAGAAAGATAGTAAATAATAATATTTCATAATAATAATATTTCATAATAATATTATTTCATTTATTCATTAAAAATGACTTAAAAATAATGAAGATATATTTACGATAATATTTCATGACAAATGTTATGTTTATTTTACATCATTATTTGGTATACTGACGTAGAATGACGAAAAATGACTTTAAATCATCATCATAATGGCATCATCTTGCTACTTGGGTAATTACTTTACATTTACATCACAAATAATTAATTAAAAATAAACATTCAACGGATTTTTATATTTACATATTTGTACAAAATATATATTATAATAATTTTACAGAAATATGTAAAAGTTTTGAAAATAGATTGATAATAATGTCGCACGTCATCAATTCGGCAACTTAAGGTCCAACATCATATTGCTAGTTTTGCTATAAGCTCGAGAGACAGAACAGAACAGAACAGATCGTATATCCTTTTCTACCATTCGAAGCTAATGCCTTTCTACCACTCGACTAGCCTGGCGGGCCATCGTGTTTACGCAGCGTTATGCCGTGCAGAGTACACAAACATGGGCCATGCTTCAATGTGTGTCAGCATACACTGAACCGTGAGTCTACATCCGTGTACGTTGCATAGTGTCAGTTTCGCTACCCTCGGATGTAGAAAAGATAGGACTACTATCCTATTCACTCGAAGAGTTGCGCGAGGAGAATAGAGATACTATCGTACTCTCTTGCGCTTGACGTGCTGCGAGAAGAGGATAGAGATATTATCGTACTCTCTCGCCCTCGATACGTTCGGCGTCTCCTACGTTTTCGGTTACCGCTCGCTATTGTTGACATATAGCGTGTCCATTGAAAAAAATCGGTAATAAACAGTATTAATAATATGAATGAATTGCAGAATTGATACGAATATGAAACGAAAATCCTTATATATGATTATTATATTTTACATATAATATTTATTACAATAAGGTAGTATATAATTTTATGTATAAAATTTATAAACAATATAATAAATAAGAATACATATAAAATTATTTTCTTAATACGATTGCGTAATATATATTTCGTTATTTTCTTAAAAATTCGAAATAAATTAAAAGTTTACTATGTAATACTTATTATAATTACTATTATTATAATTAATAGAATAATAATTACAATGTCGAGATTGTTGCACAACATATAAAATAATCAATTTGATGTATTACGTTTTTTTTTATTTAATATAAACGAAAATATATATTGAACTTTGAATACTTGAATGAGAAGCTCTTAAATTGTAAAAAATTATCATTATTTTATAAAAATTAAACTATCCTGAGAAAAAAATATTAGGATTTTTATTTAAAAATATATATTAGGTGTACAAAAAAGTTCTGAGCTTTAGATTTGTAAGAATTAGACGACCGTAAGCGGTCATGAAAGAGATTCGGAATATAAACACTAACAGAGAGGAGCCGTCGTGGTCATGCAGACTAAGTGTCGGATTGGTAGACGAGGGATCCCGAGTTCAAATCCAGTCGGTCCGTTAATTTTTTTCCGAATCTAATAGATATCTTTCAGATTTCATACAACCGAAATAATAATTTAAATTTTATATATCTTCCCGCCCTTTTCTGGTTTTAAAGCGTTGACATTTGGCCTTCTAAAATGCCATACGGTTTGGCGTTTGATGCACATAACCAAAAATCAGTAGTGTTCACGATGGCAATCAAAAAAGAGCATATTCGATTTTCCATCCACTTCGCGTTTCATCTGAAGAAATATGCTGCTGAAGCCACTGCAATGATTTGTGCTGCATATGGAAAGAACGCTGTAAGTCATACTACATGTAAAAGATGATATCAAAAATTTCGCCAAGGAGATTTCAGTCTTGAAGATCAACCGCGTGCTGGATGCCCTCAAAAGATTGAAAGACGAATTGCAAGCACTGCTGGATATAAACTCTGCGCAAACTGAAAAGGAGCTTGCAGAACAGCTTGGCGTTACGCAGCAAACCATTTCCGTACGTTTACATACGATGGGAAAGATTCAGAAGGAAGACAGATAGGTTCCGCATGAATTGTCCGAAGACAACAAAAGTCGGCGTGACACTGCACTCACTTTGCTTTCAAAGTTCCGGAAAAAAGATTTTCTGCACAAAATCATTACAGGCGATGAAAAGTGGATTCTTTATGATAATTCTAAACGTAGAAAATCATGGGTTGACCCTAGTCAACCTTCGACATCGACGCCAAAGCCCAATATCTACGCTAAAGAACGTTTTGCTCTGTATCTGGTGGGATTGGAAAGGTGTGTTGTATTATAAGTTGTTATAACCGGGTGAAACAATCACGGCAGACCGCTACCAATAACAATTGACCAATTTGAGCGATGCATTAGAAGAAAAGAGGCCATTTACTGGCCAAGGACATCGTAAAGTGATCTTGCTTCATGACAATGCTCGACCACATGTTGCGAAAGCGACTCAGGACC